AGCCTGAATGCTGCTGAACCTCTAACAGCGCTACCTGCCCCACTCCTCGATCATTAAACTGTTCCTCTTTAAGGCCATACCCGAGAGAAAAAATCCTGTCAGTGGCATATGTGGTGTCTAATAAACCACTTGAAGCTCGCGTAGAACGACCAACGGCTTCATTCGTAGTTTGATCAAAGGAAGAGTCTTGGCAACCATTGGGTTCCACTGCAGATCCAGTTGAACAGGGCGGGGCCACTGGACCATAGTAAGCACCACACGTAGATATGGCTGGTCGAACCGAGCTGGAACCAACTAGAGGGCTAGAGCTAATGGCTGTGGAGAGACCAATATGGAAAATATCGGAGGGCCGAAGTGTATAAGGGGAAGCGGATGAATGAGAAGTAAGTGCTCGTTCTACCAGAGTAATAGAAGTGGCGTCAAGATCGCGTAGCGGGCGAATCGGGAGACAGAATGTACTGCTAGAATCTGGCGAGATGCCACATTCAATGCCCCCAATACCAGTGCTAGCAGTCGATTCGTAGGCCAAAGTCGTTGCGGGTATACTTGGTCCAGAAGAATCTTGCACAAAATCGGAATTCCAAGCAGTGGAGCCCAAGTGAAGGGCGACCCGATGACTTGTCACACTATTACCCGCGCTAGTGATGATGCTGGCTGAAACTGGAACACAAGTGGTAACGCTGGCTGGGGGTGCGGTCGAGGTTACAACGGCATCACACGCATTCTGATGGAGGAGAAATGAAGGTGAAACCGCATTCAAAGCTGATGCTACAGTAGTGGAAAGAGCAACCTTGCCATGTGATGCTGGGGCAAGGCTGCCAAACGTATTAAAGTCTCGGTTTGAGTCACCAAGTACCGGTATTGGGCGACGAAACAAGCCAGAACCAGTGCTAAGGTGTGCATTCGAGGAACAAGAAGTGGGTTCGGTACAGGCAAGAAAGCGGACAACACACATTCCGGTGTCGCATCGTTCATGATGCATTCGGCTATCTTCGTACATAGTCCAGCTGTTGTCAATTGGATCATAGAATTCGACCGTATCCAAAAGGCGACTGCCGTTATATCTGAAGCGGAAAACATCAAATTGATAAGGCAATGCAAGAGCGCAATTCATGAAACGTTAGGTATACATAAGCCCTAACGTAGGAAAAGAGAAAAAGAATAAGCCTTTTCAAAACAGTCTTGGAACTTTTGGTTAGCTGATTAACAGGTATAACTAAATGATATTACTTTCTAAATGTTAAGGCGTATTGGATATGACGAACTGACAAATGTTTAAAAGCACGTCAGCCAGACCAAAATAATAAGTGAGGACGTAACTAATGTTTGACAGTGGCAAAATCTAGAATATATAATCGAAGGTATGAAGACCAGGATAGTGTGGCCTTTTGTGTGGTCGCAGTCTCCTTTCGTGTTATAGAAGTTATTTGACTTTGTTTTCGCAACTTGGTCACATTGGTAGAAAAACTTAGAGGAACGCACCTTGTCCGGAGTCCATTGTTTTCATAATCATTTTCAAATTCAGACCGTGGACGTGGTACATTTCCTGTCGTTTGGCCGACATCGTAGTCGGCCTAGTCAGTGAGTTTTGCCATTCGTAGCACCATATAACAACTCGTCAAAGAGACAAGTGAAGCCGATCCTTTGATCAAAAGTGTGCTAAATAGTTATGGTATCTCCCCTTCTGCTCTGGCCTATTCACATTTCCTATATCCTTCAATCACGCCTTCACTGTCACAATTTTTTACTTGCTTAATTAAATGTGGTACAGTGTGCCATTTTGAGCGGCTTTAATGAGAACCCTCTGAACTCCACACTGGCCTTCTCACCTTTCTTCATCCTTGTGTTGGGATTGTCAACCAGAGTCTGCCATATTGTTGCGCAGTCCTCCTTCCATAGGTCTTACCACAGTCTCTCTCTTGCCCCGTAGAATCCATGTGCGATCTCTCTAGTTCAAGTATTTTTCTCTATCTGCTACCCGAGGTGTTATCACCACTCCTCTACGGTTGAATGACTAAATCGAGGCTAAAGCCTCTGAGTAAGTCTCATGGTCAGGCCTTTGCCACATGGACCATGTCTCTTATAAAACCTACTGTCAACCCACTAGCTCTCATCGCCGCCGCGTCTATCCTATTTCTATCTTTAATACCAAGTCTATGACGTGCCATGCCCTAATCTCTTGTGTGCCAACCCACAAACGTTGTAGTACTGCTTGCTTTGGTTAGCTTTGGTAAGACCTAGGGAAGGAGGACTGCGCAACAATATGGCAGACTCTGGTTGACAATCCCAACACAAGGATGAAGAGGGGTGAGAAGGCCAGTGTGGAGTACAGAGGGTTCTCATGAAAGCCGCTCAAAAGGGCACACTTTACCACATTTAATTAGGCAAGTAAAAAATTGTGACGGTGAAGGCATGATTGAGGGATATAGGAAATGTGAATAGGTCATGGCAGAAGGGAAGATACCATAACTATTTAGCACACGTTTAGTCAAAGGATCGGCTTCACTTGTCTCTATGACGAGTTGTAATATGGTGCTATGAATGGCAAAACTCACTGACAATGCCGGCAAAACCTCTGGGAATGTACCACATCCACGGTCCGACTTTGGAAATGATTATGTATACAATGGACTCCGGACAAGGTGCGTTCCTCTAGGTTTTCCTACCAATGTGACCAAGTTGCGAAAACAAAGTCAAATAACTTCTCTAAGATATATAGTTACATATTAATAAATTAATAAGAATATCATAACTATGATATAGATCCAGGTCATATTTTAGATTGCGTAACGATATTTAGCAACAGTATAAACAATAAAAATTCTGTAATCTCGGTTAAAATATGTCAAATTTTTTATTTATATCCATTCCACTCAATAGAAATTGTACATAAAATATGTTACTCAGGTAAGAAGGTTAAAAAAATCAACAACAGAAAGTAATCACTGTACACGAAAAAAACTAATGTAGTTACTCTTGAATTATTATACTCTGAAATAAGAACCAGTTAAGGATGCTGAAGATATCTGAACGAGTAACAAACCCTACTTAACTGTGACAACAAATAGTGGAGCTACGGATAACAAGTAAATGAGAATGAAAAATTAAACCCTTTCCTTAATTTACCATACGTATATCAGCTTTCCTCAGACGTTAGCTATCAGAGTTAATAAAAAGGATGAAAACAGGTAAACCAACAGGCAACAAATATCGCAATACCCAGATACAAACCAATTAGATTATTACAGATAGGGTAGA